GTCCGACTGTATGGATCAGAAACTTGGACATTATCTGCTCGTCTTGAAAGATGACTGGATGAAACATATACAAAACTACTTAGAAAAATCTAGAGCATCATTTGGAGTTCCCATGAAATACTTAACACAATTTACGAAGAATTGAGACCAATCTGTCTTAAAATCAAACAAAAATTATTACAATTTGCCGGCCACTGCCACGAAGCGGGCAGCGAAATCGCCTCATCCTTACTCTTATGGCATCCGTCTAGAGGTGTCGTCTCACGAAAATTGACTTTCCCAGACACCGTAGCACGGGACTCAAGGTTGAACATTGGTCCTCTGGGGACAGCAATAGAGGACCGAACAGTGTGGGAAGGGATTGTCAATGGAGTTCTGACCAACCATAGGGAGGTCGAAGGTTGATGCTAATGACTGACAGGTTCGTCGTTGCTGAACTTCAGTAATGTCACGGGAACTGATGTTTCACCGTGATGTGGCTGTAAGCCAATCGAGAAATGTAATAATGGGTTGGTGCAAGGTGAAGTGGATATGACGGATCTGGTAGAACAGACCAACCGGGTTCCATAATTTTTCATCTGTTATTCTTACTGTATGTGGTCTTCTGCTGTCATGCAGAAAAACAGTTTTTCTTTCCAATCACAGGACGCTTTTCAACTAAACCTTTATGGAAACGTTGCAGCTGCTGGACGTATAATTATGCATTTAGTGTTAAATTACATTTTAAATGAATAATAACCGGACGTTCTACCACACGTATAACATTACTTTCCTTGCATGAAGCTCATCTTTAGGTAGCTGATGTGAAAATTTACCCTTTTTGCGTCTTTTGCGTTCAACGTTGTCAGTTCATTGTTAGTCTACTCCATATTTATTCTTAACTACTATGTAGGACTTAGTAATTATGATGGTACGTCCACCATTACAATTCGTTCCCAGAAATGTAACCTAATAGATTTTAATGTATTTTTAGAGAGAGGGGAAAATTTAGAGATGGATAAACTTTTCCAAAACAGAAACTATGATTTGGAATTGGAATGAAAGTAGTGATGGCACCTACCCTGAATCCATAAAAATACAGAATGTAGAATTAGTACATACTAAACAGTTCAGATACATCGGCGCATGCATGGATCAGTTATAACAAATTAAGTATAAGAAAAAAAGAAATTGAACATAGGATAGTTTTGCCCAATACAGCAAATTACTACGAAACCAAAACATCAACCTGAAAACGCGAGTCATATTCCTAAATAGCCACGTCAAATCGTGACTTTCATATGGATGTCAGATTCGGTCAGAAATAACTAAACTGTATACAACTGCTTCCTAAGAACAATCTATATATAAAATTCTGTGAGTTCCGTTGATCTGTCCGTTACAACCTTTAAAATAGCCATACATTAACCGATCAAAACCAAATTTTGGGGAGAAGTGCAAACAAATAAAGTACAAAGTACAGTTGGTTTTACTAGGGTGAATACAATAAATTATCATTAAGTTTTTTTTTTTTTAAATTAAAAGTTTTATTATTTAACATACAAAATACTCCCACTATGTTAAAAACAATTTAACAGTTAAAATAACAAATACTTATTTCATAAAAACACAATATTGTTTTTTGCATATTTTTCTTTAATTTTTTTTATATTTCATTGATTTGTTTGCGAAATTGAACGAAATGTAGAGTTTGTAAATCTGGGCAAAAATGTTAACGTTTACTTCAACAATAATAAATACAGTGAAGATTGCAACACGCAGTCTAGTGGTGAATAAAAGGCTTTGCACAAGTAAAGATCGTACTTCCTAGAACATTGAGGACTGGCGCTACAGAATCACAAACTGTGCCAAATGACAAAAACCACATTACTTGAAGACTATCAAGAGCAACAATAACTAAAATGGATAGCACATGTAACTGAAAGAAAATAATAATGGCATAATCATGATGTTGACATTTCACACTATGGAACTCAGGATAAATATTTCCACAACAGAAACTGTAATCTAGAATTGGAATGAAATCAATAATCATAAAAATTAGTAAATATTAAACATTTCAGGTATTTCGACTCATGGATCAGTTATCACAAATTTAGTACAGGAGAAAAAAATTTAAAATAGAATAGTCTGCGCCAGATGTACTTTCACTGAAAACCTGGAAACTGGATCCCGGTTCTTAAATAACCTCGTCTGGTCGACTTTCATATGAATGCCATGCTTGGCGCCAGACCCGTTCTGAAATATCGAAACTATCAGCTGTATGAAACCCCCTTCTTAAGATCAAAGCCTTTGAAAAGATCATCCTTCATTGAACATTGTGGACTGGCGTCAGAGAATCACAAAGAATTGTAGCTAATAACAAAAACCACATTACTTGAGAACTACCAACAGTAGGAGCAACTAAAATGGATAACGGCTTTTATTCGAATGGAAAATAATGAGATAATCAAGATGTTGACATTCCACACCACTTCAGAGAATAGGTTAAGAAGGAAATCCCTATCAATACTAGAAAGAGCGATAACAGCTACGGGACTTGAGAAACTTGTTTTCCGAAAAAGAAAAAAGTTTTAAAGAAAAGATTTTATAAATTTCAATCGAAAATAGTAGTGATTGTTCTATCAATGAATGCCAAATTCTTCCTTATAAGGAAACGGCTATATTACCGTAAGAGAAGTGGGGAACAGATAAGTACACTTTGACCCGAGCCTGACAGCCAGGGGCTGAAGAAAAGCATAACTCTACTAATACTAAGTGCTTGGTCAATGAATGCCAAATGTTTCCATATAAGGAAATGGCTATATTACCGTATGAGAAGTGGAGAACAGATACTACACTTTGACTCCAGCCTGAGAACCAAGGAGTGAAGAAAAGCATAACTCTAGTAAAACTAAGTGCTTAATCAAAGAATGCCAAATGTTTCCTTATAGGGAAACAGGCTAATGTTACCAGTACCATTACCAATTATCCTTACGTTTTTTCTTCAGGTTCTCTGAGCAGCAAATATATATTTGTTATACTATTTAGTATGAAAACGTGTCATCTTTAATGTCGGATTCTTCTGGACTTAGCACTTTTGATGCCGGTCAATATTTGTTGAAAATTAAGAGCGCTGACCATAACATAATTCAGATTCGAATGGAGTTGCTCTTTTCTTTAGAAACTTTATTTGAGTTTCTGTCATGATGCCGACGGCCGTAATTTGCATCCTTATATCCGGGTCATGTGACATCTTTGTGTTCTCCCCTTCAAATGAAACTGAAACAATGACGGTTGGGAACACCAGAGGAAAAAAAAATGCGTACATACGGTTATTTGTATTTGTTTGCTTATTTATTTAGTTGCTTTCATTGTTTCTTTTGCATCCGATAATGTTTCCTTTAATACTATAGGTCGATCTCTTAGAAAATGAAAAATATATCTTGTCCTTCACTCACCGCATAATTATGACAAGAAAGATACCAACCAAAAAGTGCAGACATTTTTTAGATGACACAACGTAGCCTCGTTATTCAAGAGGAGACAAAAGAGGAAAACAGATTCACCCGTTTAATACAAAAGTGATTCATTTTTTTTTTTTAACTGCATATCAACTCCTTTATGGGTCATTTAATGTCGAAATTTAATTTTTTTGAACGCTTTGAAATAATTTGGTAATATTACTATAAATATGTATTGTTGCTAAATTTTATATTAAAAGTATTGCTGCTATTTTTACTATAAATATCTGTTTTTATATTTTTATAGTATTTTGTTTTTGTTTTGTTGTTCACTATTTTCCCATAGCTTGAACCGTAACAGGTGCTACCACCATGGGTCAGGGTGAACCTGAAAACAACAGTGATTAAGAGGTGATTTCACGCTCCTAAAAACCTCCAATCTCTCGATCAGAGGCCTTGCTGCCGGATGTAGTTTATCGTCATGCCCAGGAATATAAAACGAAAGAATACTACTACTGCTACTACTACTACTACTACTACTACTAATAATAATAATAATAATAATAATAATAATATGGGCCAATAACTGCAATGGAAAATCTTTAACTTTTACGGGAAGGAAAATGCAAAAAATAGTATGAACATCACCCTGACCCAGTTTATTGAGTTAACCCGAAATGCATATTCCGTGAAAAATATGCAGAAACAATTGACCATCTTGTGTCAGGTTGAATATTATTAGCAATCCCTGAATAGAAAACACGGCATAACAGAGTGGACCAATATATGTACTGGAAAATATGCAACTTTTATAAGAAAGAAACTGCAAGCAACTGGTATGAACATCACCCACAACCGATCACAAAAATATGACCTGTAACAATTTTATGGGACAATACACACAGAACAATCAGAGCTAATCCCACAGACACAGTGATCAAAGACCACAAGATCAGAATGGGTTTTCCGATAGACATGGCAGTCCCTGTAGATTGTAATGTATCTTTTTAGTTCTTCAAGAAACTACAAAATACAAAAATCTTGAAGTGGAAATTACAAAAAATTCTTCTTCTACTTTTTTTATTATATTTATTTATTTCATTTTATTTCTTTCAGAAAAGCTGTAAAAGGAGCAGTGGTTCTTTTGCCACTTTTGGGAATTACTTATATTGTGTTTTTATTGCACCCAGAGCCCGGTACAGGATATGCTGATGTTCTTATATACACAGATATTATTCTGCAATCATTCCAGGTAAAATGCAAATTTAACTTCTATTTTATACGAAACTTTTTTCCCTGTCCAGATTAAATGCTTATTTCCACAAGAGTCAAAAGAAAAATTATTCATTTTATCTCTGTCTGAATTTCAAGGACTGGGGATTTGTTTTAATTTACATACTGACTATTGTCTTCATCGTTGTTCTTCTTATCACGTTTCGACTGCTACGTCCTCCGATCTTCATCAGATGATTTTCGATCCGTGTAATCTTTAGGGAATTTCGAACTGAACCTTTCATTTAATCTAAGGCGGTCGATTGTTCTCAGACTGGGCTTAAGGCCACATCACTTTAAAACACCGGTTTCCATACGATCACCGACGTTAAGCAACGTCGAGCCAAATCTGTATCTAGACGGGTGACCGCTTGAGAATACCAAGAGCAGTAAGCTTGGGTCTGCGGGTGGTGTAATGGATAAAGACTCGGAATTCTGAATCGAAGAGCCGAGTTCCAGTACCCGTGAGGTTCGTTATATTCACTTACGCTCAAATATCCTTGGAAAAGGTAAGAATCCGCCTATTCTCCTTCAGCTATGGGTTAATTAGTTAAACTTGTATTACTAAATCATTATTATCTAAAAGAAAATGATTCTTACAAGCTAAAAATATTTTATGGCTTTAATTAACCTGCAAAGGGTTGATAAACCGTAGAAAACGGATCAATCAACACTGATGTATGTATTTTAGTTTTATTTACATTCTCTAGAATATAAATGTATATAAACATCCGTGACCACAAAGTGAGGGAAAAGTTTATATAAAGATCATAACATAGAATTAAACCCCCATTTATATTTACGTTATAAGTTCTTGTTTGTTTATCAAATTCTGGTTAGACATTAATCTACTCCTCTCCCCATCTTCTCTTGTGGGTTAATTAGTAAGACTTGTATCACTAAATCATTATTATATCCAAAAAGATTACTTACAATTTAAATTATGCTTCTTAATTCACGGACCAACGTTTTAATCCACTAGGCTATGCTCCTGTGAAAACGTGAGCAACCTACCCCTGTAAATTAAATAAAGGGTTCAGTTCCAAAATTCTCTGGAAGTCAGCCAGATCGACAAGCACCTGATGAAGGCCGGAAACTCTGCGGTGATTACAACAAAGATGAGGAAATAGTCAGCACAATAATAATCATTTATTTTTTACTAATAAATAATCATTTATATTTTTACCAATAAATAATCATTTATTTTTAAATAATAATCATTTATTTTTAACTAATAAATAATCATTTATTTTTAACTAATAAATAATCATTTATTTTAACTAATAAATAATCATTTATTTTTAACTAATAAATAATCATTTATTTTTAATAATCATTCATTTTAAGTAATAAATAATCATTTATTTTAACTAATAATCATTCATTTTAACTAATAATCATTTCTTTTAACTAATAATCATTTATTTTGAACCAATACATATTCATTTATTTTTCACTAATAAATAATCATTTATTTTAACTAATAAATAATCATTTATTTTTACTGATAAATATCATTTATTTTTAACTAATAAATAATCATTTATTTTTAACTAATAATCATTTATTTTTAACAAATAAATAATCATTTATTTTAACAAATAAATAATCATTTATTTTAACTAATAATCATTTATTTGTAACTAATAGTCATTTGTTTTTAACAAATAAATAATCATTTATTTTAACTAATAATCATTTATTTTTAACTAATAATCATTTGTTTTAACAAATAAATAATCATTTATTTTTAACTAATAATCATTTGTTTTTAACAAATAAATAATCATTTATTTTTAACTAATAATCATTTATTTTTGACTAATAATCATTTGTTTTTAACAAATAAATAATCATTTATTTTTAACAAATAAATAATCATTTATTTTTAACTAATAATCATTTATTTTTAACTAATAATCATTTCTTTTTAACTAATATTGGTTCCAGGTTAGATATTAAAATCTGCCCTGAAGATTTATTTTCTACCTGAATTTCTGATTTTTTAACTTTTCGTACATATTTTTAATGCAATCTCATTTCAGGCCACAAGCGATCATAGCTCTCCACAGATCACAGATACCTTTTCATTACCTATGAATTATCACAACCTCTTGGGAAAGTTATTTCCCGATGCCTTGTTCAAGATTTTGAATTCAGTAAAATCTTTCACTCTTCAGCATCTAAGCAATCATGGCTCTCCACAGTTTTTTTTATTTTTTCGTTATTATCACGAATCACCAACGACATTTTTGGCAAGGTATTTGAGATGTTTTCTCGTTGATTAAGTTTTGAGTTTTTCTTCCCATGACTAGTTGACACCCAATGCTAAAGAGTCTCATTTATCCTGCTATTTAAACCATATTTTTGATAGAGGAAATAGATTCATGCCTTTTCTAAGGTCATTAGCGTGAAGAGAACGTATCACACTGACAAAGAAGTTATCACATATTTGCAATCCTTTATTATTACATAGTATTTATTATTATTTCTTAGTCATGTCCTTTTCGGACAAATACGATCATGGCCCTCCGCAGAGTCTTTTTCTTTATGATCTGTGAATTACCATGTATCTCGAGACTTTTGAAAAAGAAAAATCAACAATGTTAATGGTCTTGACCTGGCATCTCGGCTTCATTCACTTCCCTGTGCCATTTCTATCAATATTTTCATGGTAATTGTCCTGATGATCTTTCCTCTTTCGCACTTCGACTTCTTTTACGATGATGTTTACCATGTGCAAGGCTCAAGAGCCACTCGTGGTAAAAGTTTACAGAGTAAGAGGTCCAGTTTATGAGGATATGGAATACGAAGAGAGTGATGGTGGTTCGCTACAATGGTGGGTCTTAGTCGTGAAGGTTAGAATCTGTGAAACTAATAGAAATAGCAACAGAGCACCTAGAGGCCTGCAACGGTTCGTCAGTGGGAAAGGGTTTACAGGATGAAATTAATTAATCACCCACAAGGCTGCGTAGACACTTTTAGACTCTACCTCGTCCTGAGTATGACAATAAACTACATCCAGCAGCAAGGCTTCCGATCAGGAGATTGGTGCTTTTGAGGCGCGTGGAATCACCTCTTAACTGCTGTTGTTTCCAGGTCCATCATGACCCGGGTGGTAGCACCTGTTCGGGTCCCAACTATGGGCAAATAGTGAGCCCCAAGCAAAAACCAACTGTAAGATGACCAACAATACATTTTTATAGCAAAATGGCAGTCAATGCAACACTAAAAAATATAAAATTGTATTTATTGCAAAATTACCAACAATACATTTTTGATCTACAAGCAATATATATAAAAACATAGCTTTACTCTGAAAGCGTAAAATTATTTACAAAATATCTGTAGTTTAAATCATAAAATTACGTACAAAATATTTAGATTTCGGCATTAAATAACCCATAAATGTAGATATGCCGCTAAACAAAATCTACCAACCATTTGGACTGTATCGAGACTGTGGAAACTGGGTAGCTTCTGCCTATATATTCTAGCAGTACTCCATTTTCGGTTTGATCTGGCACTTCTAGAGGCATAAAATAACAGGAGGACTCGGGTACTTACTGGAGTGGTACAGGGAATCTTACTGGAATTTTGCTCGGGATCGTATGTACAAGTTCTGGTCTAGGGTGAACTAAAGTGCCAATAGGCATTCAAGGAATGTTCATCCCGATAGACGAAAATTCAGGTCCCGCCCGATAATGATGGGACCTCACTAGTTTGGTTGTGGTTGTATTGAATGTGACCAGCAGCTGTCACGTGACTTTCTCTTGTATTTCCTCGACATTTTAAAACTATGTTCCTTACAAATGGGATTTGATTTTTACATAAGTGGAAAAGTCGCAGGTGTGCGAGATTTGGGGAATGTGGTGTTTGTCGGAACTGGGGAAGTTTGTTCTTGGTCACAAACTGCTGCACAAGCCATGGTCACTGAATGGAATTTTGTGATTCAGTGAGACGACCACACTCTACACACTTTCCTTCCAAGAATTGCTATAAACAACAGAAAGGAAATAGAACGTTGTACTTTAGTTTAGTTGTGGTTGTATTGAATGTGACCAACACGCCCACCCCCACCACCACCACTACCATCACTGAACTGATAGAGTTAGGTCAGATGAGGGATCAGCTGCTAAGTTCTGGTTATCTAGAATTTTTGAGGTTTACACACATTATGTATTACGAATTTAATCATACTACGGTATTGGCGGCAAGGTCCCATGATCTTACAGTCGAAATGGCTATATGTAACTGTAAGTTCTATAGTAACAGTTTGTTTTTTCCTCTCGACTTCTCGCTTATGGAATTTTCTGTCGGCTTCTTGGTTTCCAATCTTGATGTTTACAGATTTTTCACTTTGATTTTTCCCTATAGCTTTTCTATAAATATTTTCACGGTAATTATTCAGAGCTCCCCGCTTTGGTATCTAGACTTTATGAATTTAAGACCACTACAAGATTGTGGTTTCATCAACTTACAGTTGAAATGACTAGATGTAACCGTAAGTTCTATGCTAAGAGTTTCTTTAAAAAAAACTTTTTCTGTTTCTTGCTTTCCAGTCAACTTTGATCATCAAAAATTTAAATGCAATGTCAATCGTTATCTTCTGTCTTCTTAATTCCTGTTCTTTGATTTCTTTCTCTCTTCTTAATAATGTTTTTTTTTTCTCATATTCAATCACACTCTGTACTTCCCCACTCCGCTTCTTAGTGGCTTTATTGCCTTGCTTGTGGTGAAACGATTTTAAAAAAATCATGTTAATTCACAGAAAACTAATCTGCGGAGAGCTGTAATCTTGAAGTGGCAGTTTTTTTTTTTTAATTAATTAAACTTTTTTTAAATTATTTTCTATATATATTTTCATAGATAAATAAATTTCTTTTGTTTTCCAGGGTCTCCTTGTCGCATTGTTTTACTGTTTCTTAAATTGTGAGGTAAGAATTTTCATTCTGTTTCTTTATTATTTTCTTCTTATGAAGAAAGAAAAGACATTAGAGAACACAAAATTTCCTAATTTTACCAGCTGCTCAAAAGACATCCTCTTTTGCTGACGTAATGGTAATGATTGGTGAAACTTTTCGTGAATAAACAATTAAATATCTATCGCCGCGAAAAAAATGAAATCGGCAGACTAACTTCAAATTACGGTCGCAAATGGTTGCTGCGTTCAGTTCGCCCTAATGCTCTTGGTAACGATCCTTCTCATTTCATTTAAATATTAAAATATCATTTATATAGCAAGGCAAGGCTCTTTGTTAAGGCAACCAGTTTAGAAAGGCAGCACTAAATTCGGAACAACGGAGAAGACTACGGGAAACCATTCCACTGTATTTTCCAAGAGGTCATGACAATTCAAAGACAATAAAGAAAAGGGGTAGCAAGCAGCTGCC